ATAGCCATTTCAAACAGAAAACACCTCTTGGGTAACCAATTTTTTTATTGGATGGTATTTCGTAGATAGTAGATAATCCAAAACTTTGATTAGAGAAAGTGGACGCTTTAAAAATATTCCGGACCGTCATACAAAGCTTGATTTAAACAACAACACTTGAGGAACAACGATCAACAATTGAGTTTTTTTTTAATCTATGTATTTTTTTACAAACTGTCAAGCATGTTTGACAATAAGTAATATTTACTACATTCTCCAGGTCAGTTTACTATCCAGACATATTCCTAATTATTTTGTTTCTGCAGCCTGTATTTATTAATTTATAAAAATTAATAACTAATATATAAAGTATCACAGTGTTCACTTCATACGGATACTTGGACACAGAGGGATCACAGGTAACGGTAGGACTAGCGTGGTTATCAAAGCAGGCGTTCGACTCTCTCAAATTCACTTCCAGGATATATATATTTCATTCGGAATGGCTAATCTGACCATTAAAAATTCAACAATGTCTAGAAAAGTTTGGGTAGTTGAAGATTCTTGTCAGACTACAAGACTTATTTGGTCCAATTTAGACAGAAAACGTACCAGGCAGCTGCTTTAGCTAAAGCAGATCGATAATCAGCACTACAGTATCGATGCTCAAAGTCACTGCGTACTACGGAAACATGCTTTAACACTTTACACTCTACACCCCAAAGGATTTGGTCGTATTGCAGACTCTACAGTAGTGTTTCAAAACAGTGATTCAAAACAGTGTTTCATCTTATGACCATCCTTAAGGCTCCTTGTCTCACCGACCTGATAGAACTAGAATCCTTCAAAAGGAGCCTGTAACCATGCTGAGATTCGATAACGCGGTGTTGGTAAGTCTGCCATATATTTTATTTTCTTATATTTTTATTATTTTTTTATTGATATTACTTAAGGTGAACTCTAGTCCCCACAACTTTGTATACCCGCCAATGTATGAGTTTAGATATTTTTAAAAAAATTTTTTTAATAAGTAGAAAAAGAATAATTTATCTTTATTTTATTAATTAAATGTATAATATATTTTATACATAAAAATAGAATGCTTTATATAAACTTTTGAAATAAACACTACTGACTATAAAACTGTATATATTTATTATTGTAATAATTCTCAAACTGTTAACATTTTAGTTAATGCAGTGCTTAATAAATGCTTTAGTTTCAAAAGAAATTATAAGAAATAAAATGGTTTTAAAAGTCTATATGGCAAATTATGAAGTATGAATTGATTCGAATATATAATCAACTTTATCAAAATTATATTAAAATGCTCAATAATTATTCTGGATTCTCAATCTCTAGATTTGCAAATAAGTAGAATAATGCTCGCAACATGCCTTGTATAAATGTACAATGTGTTGCATATCCTAAGGCAGTGATGGCAAACCTTTTTAGAAACATGTGCCAAATACATATTGTATTAGAATAATTATATTGAATTTTTGATATTCTCAAATATTAATATATATGAAATGTTTGATATATATTGGCCATTGAAATAATACTAAAAATTCAAATAAATGTAAAATAAGTGTCAAATCGACAATTAAGTGTAATTGTAAAATTAACCCGAATAAAATGAAAAGCATTTAATTTTTTGTTAAAAGTGTTATGACCATATTAAACTTTTTATTTACAAGAATTTCTTCAAATCATCTACTATTAAACTGCTGTGATAGTGTCAATAATCATTACAATTACACTATACGTGATAATATTTTGCAAAACTCTAAATATTAAATATATGATGCTAAATTCAATTTACAAACTTTTTTGCAACAAATACTGCTTATTTACTTTAAAACTATTTTCAGTGGTTTTATTAAACAAAACAAATAATAGGGAACTATAGGGTTAAGATTCAGGGTAACCCTCTTTGTTGTTTTCTATTTAGCTAAGACTCAGGGTAACTGACATTCTTTTTTCTACCTACTCCTATAAGCATTTTGGCACATTGTGTTGAAATATAATTTTCAAATTTTATAGAACAATAACAAATCTTTTATTATATATTAACGATCGTTTAAAATTATTGTTTATAACTTATTTTTACATGATATATGTTATTATAAAATTATATTATTTTATTTTATATTAATTATTATATATAATTTATATAAAACAACAACCAATGATGATGAATATTTGGAAATACTCGAAACAGCTGTACGTAAAATTGTAAAATGTAAAATTATTGTTTATATCTTATTTTTACATGATATATGTTATTATAAAATTATATTATTTTATTTTATATTAATTATTATATATAATTTATATAAAACAACAACCAATGATGATGAATATTTGGAAGTACTCGAAACAGCTGTACGGGCAGCCGAATATTCAATTAATTAAAAATAAATAAAAATTTTGTTATTACAATACACTACTGTTCAGAACCTTTGTATAGAATATATATTTATTTATTATTGAAGTTTTTTTTTTCAAGGTAATTGGTCAAATCTTTTTTTTTTATATTGTTGTTAAAAATATAAATAGAAATTAAGAAAAAAGAAATCACAATTTGATTTTGCAATAATTTTTATTTTTCGATATTTCGACTTTAGTCTGAAGTCATCATCAGGAAACTAAGCATTATATTCATTACATATAATCTATCTTATAAAAAAGAAGTTTTAAACATTTTCTCTATATAAATTTTTAAATATACAATGCACACATATTATTTTTCAATGACCGCAAAACTGTCGGTTTCCTATAAATTAACATATGCATGCTATCACATATTGCGAGTTGTGCCTGTTGTTGCCTTAAAATAATTTTATAGGAAAATTACGTCACAAGGGGTTGCTGGCGTGTTTTGCTATTGCTTATGCTTAGAAACTGATTGAAAGCATACAAAGAATACATAAAATACAAAAAAACGGGAGAATTTATGCACAATAAAAAAAGCAGAAAAACAAAAAAGAAACAACAATTTACATGTGAAGTTCATTGAGTAATTGAGGAAGAGCAACAACAAAGCAAACACAGCAAAATATGTCAAAATACGAACTGTGCCGGCTGATATGTGCTTCGCATATGAAACTCACACACATACACACACACACTTAAACATACAGCACAAGAAATAGAAAAATATCCCAAATAAAATAAATGAAAAGCATTAACTGTAAACCGAGTGACGAGCGAAATGCGCACGGAAAGCATTTTTAGTTTATCAGCAACTCAACGCCAGAAAGCAGCGGTGAAATATTGATTTTGTGATTTTGTGTTTCTCGGCGAATAGCGAAAATTTTGATTAATAATTTAATTAAATTCTTTTTAAATTTTAATTGTGAATTAAATTAATTCTTTCCGGAAAAGTTCTTAAAGCAGCGAAAATTCGACGTACAAAAGGAAACATGGCTTTGGGAACTTGCATTTTGGGCAGCATTTGTGTGGGCCTTGTCTGCGCACAAATCGCACGCAGAGTTCTGCCATGGCTGTATTTGAACGTCTTTGGCCCCACTTTATTCGGGCCAAAGGTCGATTTACGCCGGCTGGGAGATTGGGCTGGTAAGTGACAAATCGAATTACTTTCGACATTTCGTTTGTGACTAATTATTATAAAAATGTGCCTCGTGTTGTTGTTGTTGTTATTGTTTACGTTGTGATAAGTGATAAGCAGTGTCGATAGAAACATTTTTCATTTGTTTGTATTTTAATAAAAAAATTGTATAATAAATGTATTCTGTTACCTGAACCTGATAGTAAAGTTTAATTTCTTAATTGCAGTTGTCACGGGCGCCACCGATGGAATTGGAAAGGCGTACGCCAAAGCGGTAAGTTTCGGTATCATTGATTTGTCAATCCACTTGAAAAAATTTAATTGACATAGAGTCTCTATAAATCTCTATGAAAGACACGACTACTCTTTCCTAGCCATCATGATTTGTCGGGAGTTTTTGGTAACATCAGTTAGCAGTAACTTGCGTCTAATTTTGTGCACTACACTGTATACCAACATAGCTTCATATTTAAGAATTTGAGGTTTAAGATTAAAATGTATTATATACATAAAATCTGCAACTACTAGACACGCCATCTAGCAAGTCTAAATCTGTATAAGAACGTCATAAAGAATGTCATAAGTCCGTTATATACAGAGTTGGCTATATAAGATAGACCCATCTAATATTTAGGTTGGGTGGGTAATATTTAGGTTTGGTTAGAATATAATAGAATAGAAAAATAAACAGGGTACCGACTTGAGACAGAGCGGAGCACCGCGACTATAATACATCAAGTTAGGTTAATATCAATATTATACATTATATGATATAGATATAAATTTAAATTGATCAAATTTATTTAACAAGAAAAAACATGAATTTATAATAGGTGAAAAAAGACTGATTCACACCAATTAAAAATTATTAAAAAAAAAACTTACAAATACTCTTAATCCAATCATTTAATTTGGTTTAAGGAGATTTATATACATCTCATTTTAAAAAATATATCGCGTAAGTGGCTACCCTTAGAATGACGTAATATACCGATTTCTTGAAATTTTCAATCGCATTTTCTAATGTATGACCCACTATAGCAGTTATTTCCTGGCGAATGTTGCCTTCAAGTTCGTCTAGTGTCTTTGACCTGTTAATATAAACCTTTCAACAATTCAGAAATATTTTTAGAATCTTTCAAATTCCTAGAAAAAAAGGGTTTGCGGTGTAAAATAGGGCTAACGTGGTGACCAGTCGAAACAACAATTTTTTAATAACAAACGAATGGAGAACAATGGATTAACTTTAAGCCCCCCGTTATCGCTAAAATTAAACTATACTAAGATATCAATGGTGGAAAAAGTTGCTATAACTTACTATGCAAGTCTTCACTAAAATCATTTGTTAATCCTAATCATATCAAAACCTGCAACTGTACAACCCTCAATCTTGACAACCAAGCTATATTGTCATTTTGATGATTTACAGTAAATAAAAAAAAAAAACTTTTGTGATAAAAGATTTGGTATTACTCTTTACAATTAATAAAATTATTGACATGCAATAGTACAGAAAACAACATCATGCTATTTATTTATCACATTCATTTACAATCTAATCTATTTTAATAATTAACTAAATGTTTAGACTTCACATTTGAATAGTACGCCGCATAATAAAAAATATTCTATATCAGTTTAACCACATCAATAGCGGTTGGAAATTTCAATCCTACCAATTAACTAAACTGTGCGAAAAGTGTTATAAAGAAAAATGTTTGACAAGGAATTAGTCTAGGATGTTCAGTCATAGTAAATAATATATAAATGTTGCTACAAGTTATCAGGAAAAGGAGTTAATCTTTCATTATAAAAAATATATTGATTACATTATATTTGATATAATGTGTACTTGAGGATATGTGTAAATATGCTTTAAACACTCCGTAATAACTTAAGGGCACTCTTGAAATTTTGTTTCATAAATAGTCTCATAAGAATTGATTAAGAAATAGACTATTCAAATAAGATTTAATAAATGCAACGGAAAGATTCATAGCCAATAAGCTTCTTTGCTCTCAGTAGAGATCAACAATGAGTTGTTCCAAATATTTGTAATTGGATCGCTTTGGACCAATTGGCCACCATTTAAGGCGGTAAACACATTATTTTTCATTTTTCGATGACAGTTTATTACAATCCACGATATATAATTTACGTGAGTATTAATCAATACTATAATCAATGTTTTAATTATTAAATTGTATATATATTATATTTTCCTTCTTATAAAAAAGCCACTGTACCTTGGTCTTTGAAAAATTATTAATTACAAAAAAAAAAAATAACTATCTAACATAATTACAATTATGAATATTATTTAAAAAATATAATAAAAACATATTAAAAACATTTAATGGTTCTAATAATTGCGAACGTATACAGTTATATGATAATTAAAATAGATTGTATAATTGCATTTACAAATAAAAAATTAGACTTCAACTATATATGGATTCAACCCAATCGCTGAACTACAAACAATTTACGATGTATAGGTAAATAATTTTATAAGTTAATGTAGTTTTTAATTGTTGTGCCCTCTCTAGAATTCAACTATCGAAAAAAAATTATAATAACTTCTACTCAAGTAATAACAACAACTCAAATATTATGAGAAAATTGTGAATTACTTAATTACTTATGCCATTTTCATTTAGTAAACTGGAGTAACTTTTTCAATCGAGATTCACTTTTAGCGCAATTTTCATGTTCGAGGGGTAAATCTCGAGTAAAATTTATAACACTCGAGATTAATTTTTAACACTCTAGATAATTTTCCAGAGTAGTAACATTACCCTGGAATTAAAAGCTGTTTTATATGACTTGACAAATAAAGTGTGATTTGATTCGATTAATGTATTTATAAAAAATATATTTGTTTACTAATACAAAAATGTTAGATTACTCTAGAAATGTTCGATTGGGCAACAAAATTTGAGAGATCGCGAGTAAATCTAAATTGAATCTTGTTTTACCAATCGAAAAAGTCATTATAATCTTTATCACAGAAATTTTGAGTGATGATATTGAGAACAACTTCTAAACAGCGTAAAAGAAATTACAATGAAAATTGACTTAAAGGGATTACATCACGCAATTAAATGACTGATTGGTAAGAAACCATGCAATAAACAACAGCTCATGGCATTATTCTTATAAGTAAAGAAAAGGAACTTAATTTACAGCGAGAATATTTCGTGAAAATCAGTAATAATGATAATACGATACATACTTCAAATCACATCCCAATATATAATGCCTAACTATAAAAACCAAGTGACCTATCTTTAAATAGAGATATTCAAAATATTCAAAAAAAAACTAATCCAACCATCTTCATATGAACTTCTAATGAATTTCTATATGCAGATCACTTAGTCAACTGGAAATATGCAAATGTTTTGAGAAGACATGTCTGTGACATGAAAATAAGGAATTATAATCAAACTTCAAGGATTAAAGAGCCTAAGTTTATTCTAAAAAAAAAAAAATATTCAATAAACATAAAAAGAAGACCTATAGACAAATTGGAAACTATGTTATGATAAGGTCCAACACCATTTTCTGTAGAGAGAGCCAAGCAAACATATTGATTGAAATAAAACGGTGCATGGAAAATTTAGAAAATATATCTATAAAAATTATTTATCGATCTGCAGAGAGCGTTTAGTACTGTTGATAAAAAAAAAATAATATTAATTATCAAACCAATAAACACGTGGGTAGTATTTGGCTCTATCATTCACACTAGTTCTAGCCGATATCATAGAAGAAGAGAAAAAGACTCTCAAAGAATCAAGAATCAAGACTTCACAGATGGCATATGTCAATCTATATCACACACCAATACTAAAAATCGCTTAATATTTAAAAATAGGCACTAAATATAGTTCAATAAAGATATTCCAAACGGCTTGATTTGACAACGAATTGGGTGCTACATTTTTCTCTACGCTATATATCTGGAAAGTTGAAATCTTGTTGGACGCTCTATATTTTCCGTTAAAATAAGTTCTAAATATTTCTCTTAAAATTACAAGAGAATTTAGAATAATTCTAAATAAGTAACAAAATTAAAGACCAATTTTATTATGACCTATTTCATTATTTTATGGATTTTTTTTATTACGAAATTATTACATTCTTCGATTAAGTGCATATAAGACAAATATGTAGAACGACTATCTTTGCATTTTTAAAAACTTAAAAAAATTAAAATAATTTTTTTTATTTTTGCTTACAATTCAGGTCTGACGGTTAGTTACCGTACATTCAAACTCGGATTTTACATAATAGCGCCCAATACTAAAAATAAGTACGTGCTAAAAATTCTAAATTAGCCCTTGAGTTCAATGAATTTTAATTAAGTAATAAATGTATGAGATTGAATTTATATAGCAAAAGTTTTAAAACTTTATATGTAATTAATTCAAAACACACAATTATTTTCGATTCGATTCATATTACTTTTGTGGTACGAAGTATATATTTGGTATTGAATTTAATTAAAAATTAAATTTATTTTGTGTTGATCCACTTAATCGCACATATCAAAATTATCTAATGAATCCAATTATTACCATGTATTATGTCAAGAAAGTTTAAAATTCGCATAAATATATTGACTATCTATATTTCTTGGCTAAAGATTCTAGCTGAGTTCGCAATAAGTTTTATCAGATAATCAGTTAATGTAGAACCCATTGCCTCTCTGTAAATAAAAAGTCTTTTGAGCTCCAGAAAGAATGGAACTGATTATCCACAGTCCACCGTATGTCGACATACATATGACATAGAAGATAAAAATTACCAGTAGTGACATATACAGAAAATGCAGGGACTTAGGAAAAAACGAGGTCTTTGAATATCGTTTTTGTTATATCGGATGTGTTTTTTAGCTGCTTGAGAACTCAAAATGATAATACAAAACAAAAATATTGTTTTTATATTAATCTGATAGAAAATTTCATGGCATTTATTTTTTGAATCTCGCTATATGACGTCAATGGTGGTATAAACATTGGCTTCCAATGCTTCAAGAATCGCTGGTTTGTCGACTTAAACCAATGGCTTAACATAGTCCCATAAAAAGTAAATGAGAGCAGTTAAAATGCACGCACGAAGGATCCAGTTAACATGACCTCTTCTGAAAATAAAGTTGTTACCAAATTGATTTTACAATAAATCGATTGTTAAGCGAGTATGTTAAGCGAGTATGTTAGGCGAATTAAACACGTATGTATGATTGCGCTATCTTGTTGGAATCAAGTA